GTAACTCGCTCCTGCAAAAATCTGAGGAAAACATTCTTTCAAAAAAATGTTTTTAAACAGGAATGCTCTGTAATACTTATAGGTCTTCTTTCACACTGCATTACAATTAAAACAATGTCAATGTAGAAGACACTTGGAGATAGTCTTAACTGTCAGACACAAAACTATGACATTCATAAAAGCTTTGAATTTTGTGAACGAAAAAAATCAGCTTGTAGAAACCAAACGTTAATCAAATGGCCAAATTCTAACTTGTTTCTACATTATAGCTTTGAATATATATGACAGATTTTTAACATGCTGAGCAGATTTTGACATAGAACCTCAGAAGAATTTTGTTCCACACATTTTTTTATTTTGAAGTATTTATAGATGATGAGCTAGTCTAAAATGAGTACAGGTTGCAATTAATTAGTCAAAGTGGAGAAAAAGAAACAAACTCTTCTCACCCAGGCTATGCTCCTCTTTTTGTCTCTTTTCCCATTTTGAGCTGTCCACATAAGCCACAGAAAGAAGAGATCTTCTACCTAAGGAGGAAAGAAATCACTATGTAAGCCAGGTTGCTTTAGACATCTCTAAACAAACTAACACTTTATTAGGTATTACCTTTTTCTGTCACATTTACTGAGTTGGATGCATTAAACTGTCTTTATGACACAGCTGTCAGCAGCAGCTACCTTAACAGTTCAGATTCCTTGTATGTGGATGAGCCATTACCTCATCATTTTTAAAACAGAAAGGCTTTCTTTTTTCAGCATGAAACAAATCTTCCCAAACCTGAACTCTGTATTTAAGAAAATGATAAATTTTTAAAGGTAGACAAAACCCCAAACAACAATATAGGATAGCTTCTTTGTGCACACAGACCTTTTTCATCAAATGCTAGCAATTAGCTAAATGTAGGCATAAAAGCATAAGCAAAAAAGATGAATATGCACAACAAGGCTTTTCTGTTGTTGTTGGATGGGTGTTTTTTCCACCTGTAAAGATTTGCCTTACTGGAAATGAAAGGTAGATGCTCATCTGTAAATACTCCATTTTTTATCATCTCCTTTTTTTGCATCTCCTGTGAAGTGCAGAGTTCACTCGAATGTTTTTGAAAGTTTTTTCCAAATACTCTTTGTACCACCTTTGAAATCTTCTCAAGACACTGTTCTAGCTTTTGAAACAATGGAAAATGCTTCGGTTCGAAGAACAAACCATGTTTGTGCATCACTCACAGATGATGCAGCCTTGAAGATGCATGAGGAACACCTGGATAAAGTTTGTTGAAGGAAGATATAGAAATACATGCAGAACGTTGCAGAAATTAATGTTAAGAAACATGAAATATTTTAAAAATAGACATTACTATGCTACACAGAATCCTTAGCAACTACCTTAAAGCCTTCATCTGAAAATCTATCTGCTACCGCTAAAAGTTTCTTATTCTTGGGTGTGAAACAATTTTTCTCCTTACCATCCTTCTGATATGCAATTATACACACACGTGCAGCTCTGAACATCTTTGCAAATTTTTGTCAAAGACCTGGTACACAGAATTCCACAGTCAGAATATGAGAATACGTACAATGCTTTACCAAACAGTTAGAAAATAAGAAAAAGAGGTCTTTTTCTTTGGTTGGTGGGGTTTCTTTTAAACTTATTTTTCATTATGTTGATAGAAGAGGCACACAAAAGATCCGGGTGGTTTGGGGTTTTTTTTAGGATAATCTTCTGCATGCTCATTCACAGCTAAGGATGCCACTAGCAAGCATGAGGGTTTAAAGACCTGTCTTCTATAGCACAAGCAACTGTCTGTATGACAGAGTTTTGCTCAGGTAAGCTGGAGGTCAGGTTTGAGCTCTTCATGATGGTTCACTGCTGAGCGGCTCCCGTACCAGAGGAAAGGGCGACATTTTTGAGACATGGGCATCTAGCTACCAGGAAGCAGCACAGAGAAATTTCTGCTCGGGGAAGCTGAAAAGGCACAATAAAGTTACTCATCATCACCACACTTCAAGTAAACATTACTGAGTTCAGTTCTTCCCAAAGGTCAGGATTTTTGGAATGGCAGCTTTTCACAAACATCAGTCTTTTTTGTGCTTCTGTCACCCTAGTTACCAGGTTTCACTGAACACTTACTACCGCGCGTTTGGCGGCCCCCGTACAACTCCGTGTGGCTTCCTGTGACCCAAAAAGGCAGGTCCTAAGATATCAAGCTATGAAATCGGCTGTGTGGAGTATTTATAAAAAACAGATTAAGAATACTCTCCCGCACCGCATGCTAGTGATACGCCGTTCTCAGAGCTGTCTCCAATTTTATATATATAGATGTACAAACGCGAAGAGAAAGTCCCCGGGCAGCACACCCGTCCCTGCTCAAGC